TATATATATTTTATATATATATATATATATATATATATATATATATATATGTAATGAGAAATAATTTTAACTTTTATAATATTTTCTTTATGTAGACATCTACTATTATAATTTATTATTTTTTTTAATAATTTTCAGCTAATTTGCGCACCAACCTAATATTTATATATGTTATTTCCGCGTAATATAAATATAAAAAAATATATATACATGGATCGTACATCTGACGTTGTTATAAATGAAGTATCTTGAATCTATCGTATCTTGGATTCATGTCGATCTCAGCGTTATCGAGTTATTTCGCTTTGCTAATACAATCATTCGTTGTATTCATTACTGGAGTTCTTATCTATAATTCAGCCATATGTTTTGTATGTGAACCTTCAGTATTACCGGCTGAATCAACATGACTAAACTAAAAACAGAGATGTCAAAAAAGATCTAAGCTACAGCACCTTCCTCTACATCTTTTCAGGAGGAGAGGAAAGAAACCCGAGGGAAGACGCAGCTTGGGATTCCCGGAAACTTTCTACCCTTCGTGTTATCCCAACTGCCCTGCGAGCGGCGACCGATGCGGCCCTGAGTATCGGTGGTTGCGGCTACGCGTAAAATGTGGAAGGTAATGCCCGCGAGTATATACGAGAGAGGTTCGTGCTCCCTTCATGCAAGTCGGTGAAAGTCGCTTCGAATCGGACCAACTTGGCGGCGGCGGGCTATCCCCACCGGCTGGGAGATCGAGCGTCCGCGTTAATGTCGTTTTCCCATAGAACCTGTGCCCCCCTCCCGTCGCCGCCGCTTCACCCTACAGCACGTTCAACCCCTCTCTCTCTCTTTCTCTCTCTTCACGGCACACCTCCGGGGACGACGAGCTACTCTCTAGGAAAATGCCTTGCGCGTTTCCGGGGGACGCGACGCGGCACAGGTCACGGGAGGAATCGACAGGTTTCGTGGGGAACGCGTGTTCGCGCCTAGTCTTCCGTGCCTCCAAGCTTCCGCGCGATTTCATCATTCCAGCGAAGGAAGCTGAACGCGTCTCGAACTCGCGATAGGCTCTCAAGGGCTAATTAAGTGCGCGCGCTATGTTCATTACGATCCACTATTCATGATAATTAACGTCGATTTTCTATTATAACGGTATTTAATTCGCTACTATCGACGGTGCGGCTGCACAGTAGTCTCCACATTCCGTCGGAGGTCTAGAGTGTGTATGTGTATGTATGCGTTCATTTCGGAACCGCGAGGGAGAAAGTATTACGGGCCTCAATCGCGCGCGCTGCGCGCGGACTGTTTACCAATAAAACCCGTTTACCAATATAAATTGATATCTAATTTGGTGTTACGTAATCATGAAGCATAGACACACTCGAAATATGAGACGCCTCGAGGCTGCAATTTCAAAGATAGATTGACATTTAGATGCGATTTTTGTTGTGGGACATCATGCGTATCAGGTTAACCCGTAAACTTAGATATTCTGGTAATTATAATTGGTCTTTCCAGTTCGCTTTATCAGTATGACCTCTGAATTTTAACCTCGTATATATATTTACATATAATTAAATATTTATATATTTAAATAGAAATTTTCAGAAATATATAAATGAAATATATGAATGAAAAATTTCAAAATTAGATATAAATGTAAATATAAAATGTGAATTTATATTGACATATAAATATATAAATATGAATTTATATTCTATATATATTTTTTTTTATATTTAATTTATATTTATATTTTTAATTTAAACTATCATTTATATTTTTATATTATGTAAATATATATATATATATATATATATATATATATATATATATATTTGTATAATGTGTCCAACAATTAATAATATACTCCCGCGTTATGTGTAAATAGAACTCATCAAACTGAACACAAAATTCTTCTATCATTTTGCAAATAACCACGTAAAATTTTAAGTTATTAATTAAAGAAAGTTGCTTACATATTAGATGAAACTAATTTAAAAATCCTCTACCATTTTGCAAGCAATTGCGTAGATTTATATATATATACAAATTTATATATATATATATATACACACACACAGAGTATCAGATAATTAATGATATATCTGTTGTGTGCAGAATTCATGCATAAAATTTATCTACCATTTTGCAAAAAACCACGTAAAATTTTTAATAATTAATTAAAGAAGATTCGTAAATAATTACGTGCGATATGATAGATGATAGAGTTAGGACAATCAGAATTAGGATAAATCGTTCACCATTTGTAGGAAGGAAGTGAAGAAATAAGCGAGTTTGAGAAGAAAGTTGTAGTGTCAAGTTACTTGTACATTGAGTCAGATTGAAAAGGTCCTCCATTTTGCAAATAATCACGTAGACTTTTATTTATTAATTAAAGAATATTCGTGCATAAGTGTGCGCGATAATGATTTTCTTTAATTATTAATTAAAAATCTACGCAATTGCTTGCAAAATGGTAGAGGATTTTTAAATTAGTTTCATCTAATATGTAAGCAACTTTCTTTAATTAATAACTTAAAATTTTACGTGGTTATTTGCAAAATGATAGAAGAATTTTGATGTTCAGTTTGATGAGTTCTATTTACACATAACGCGGGAGTATATTATTAATTGTTGGATACATTGTATATACATATATATTTTTTTGTATTATTGTATTTTTGTGTTGTAATTATAATTTATATATTTAAATTTGAATTTTAAATTAAAAAAATTTAAATTCAAAATAAAAAAGTAAATATATCTAAATTTAAATTTAAAATCTAAATACACAGAGAGAACAATTTGGTTGAATAAAATAAACACTTCTTTGGAATAATCCAAACGAATTTTTTGATTGATCGAACAAAATTTTGTTTGACACAACAAAAATATTTATTTGCGGCTTAGTTCCAAAGAAATATTTCTGTCAACCAAATAATCTGTTTGTACTATTCCAAAGAAACATTCATTTGATTCAATAAATCGTTTTCTCTATAGGAATATAACACAATCATCGTTTTCTCTATGTAGGAATATAACACAAAATATATACATGTGTCGAGTTTTTCTCGCTTGGAAGAGATTAACTCTGAGTCGGAAAGGACCTAGTCCGGATTCTAAACGCGAGAGTAAATGTCGCGAGACTCGAGACGTCCCGTTCACGACGATGATTACATGAAGACACTTACCTCGCGGCATACCGCACGGTGCCGGGGTCCTGGCGTTATCCAGAAAGTCCAGGTCATACTGCCTGGCTTGCGGGAACGTAAGCGCCACATGAGCGCGCGTCGTCCTCCAGGACATCGCCATCAGCAGCAGCAGCAGCAGCGTCAAGGATGACGTCGGTCGATCCGTTCTCCGCGACATCCTCCTTTCTTCCGTGATTGCGTGTCTTTACAGCAAATAGCCTCTGCGCTCGCTCGGAAAGGACGACGTCCTTCAGCACGCGTTTCCGCCTTCTCCAGCGGCGGCTTTTCCTCTCGCGCTCCTGATACCCTCCTGCTGAGTCGTCCTGCCGTCGCCCGGCATGGGCGTCCAGTCGCTCCTGCCCGCTCCGCGGCGCGGCTGATCTGAAAGTCGATCGAGCGATGAACTTTGTTATTTACGATCAATCCTCGATCTCAATCGCCGCACGGCGCCCGCTCACCGCCCCTCGCGCGCTTTCCTCGAGGTATCCGGATTGCGATACTCGGCCACGTATTCCTGGCGCGCGCGTAAGCCGGATAAACGCGCCTGTCTGATTCTCACGTCGCGTATGCGGCGCGATCGACGCGTTCCTCATGTTAAACGAGTCAAACTTCAGGTCGTACACTTAACGCGGAATTTGTGGCGCGGAGACGAGTCGACCTGTGCTCCTCGCGAAAGGTGGTTGCGAAAGATAATTGAACGGTTCAGACAAAGAGCGACGAAGAAATACGTGGAAATATTTCTCGCCGGGTCTCTCAACAGCATTTTTCAACTTTCAATTCGTCGTAGAGTAATTTGAAAAAGTAAGCCATATTTTATTTATATGTGCTTTCTCACACGTGTTAAGCTTGAAACAGTTTGAGGGAAGATCGATTATGGGCGAGTATTTTTTAAGCCGTGAGAGATGTGAAAACAATATTTTGGATGAAAACTTTATAATATTCGATGCTTTTCGAAATTGCATATATATATATATATATATATGCATATATATATATATATATATATATATATATATATGC